CGACAATAATATTAATAATAATAATAATATGAGAAAAATACCAATAAAACACCAATAACAATAACTTTTTAAATTACTATTATTAAAATAATAATACTAAGACTAATGAATAATAATAAGAATAATAATAATAATAATAAATCGAAAATTATTTATTATTTATATGGTACTGTAATAATAATAATATCAGCAAAAATGTGAACAATATATAATGTTAATGCCAAGAATAATAATTACCGTAATATTAAAACTAACGGTATAAAAACAACAATAATAATAACAACAATGACAACAATAATAACAGCAATTATAATAACAATAAGTATAGTAATACTTAAAGAATTAGTACTTTATACTTGATGAATTACTCCTTCAAAGTGTAGTACCAGTAAATGACTTGTGGCCAAGTTGACTTGTGGCCGAGTTGACTTGTGGCCGAGTTGACCGTAGCCGAGTTGACTTGTGGCCGAGTTAACTTGTGGCCGAGTTGACTGTGGCCGAGTTGACTTGTGGCCGAGTTGGATCGAATTCATTATAACAATTTTTGAGTGTGGACATGTATTGTGAACATTCAGGCCTAGGCTACCGATTGATAAAAGGCTACTTAGGTATATAAATGTAAGTTTCTCTATGATAAAATCGTAGGCCTAGGAGCCAGCAATACGATTCAGGAACATAATGAATGGGCCAGCCAATCGATTTTGTTGGCTTCTCGTCACCTTTTAAACAAGTCAAAATGAGTTGGACCATGGCTAAATAAAATATGGTATAATCAAGCTATAATCACCTGTATTTGATACTTTTTCTTCGCATGTATTGCAATTACTGTTAAAATAAAAGCAAGGAGTGGAATGAAATATACTCTGATGTTCATTGTTTCGATGCATTTAACAATTTTCCTTCCCCACATTTGTTGAACAACGCGACAAGAAAAACATAATGCAAGCCGGTTGTTTTTGACTTCACAACGAATCCATTCTTAACTACTATACTACAGAACAGAATATTCCATTATTAAAAAAAATGTATACCCCTTAAATGTATATTGATAATTTACAAAATCAATTGTTATATTACATAAATTAGAAAAATCCTCTACTTAAAAAATAAATATATATCTATCTCACGCATTATTCCCACTTGAATTAATTTTCAAAATATATAATAAATTGAATAGATATTAATTTATTCACTTGTTTAATGAATCATCCCGTACAATACACACGCCAAATCCACCGTAAGAACATTCAGATTTCAGACCTTGCAAATAGCAGAACGAGCCAATTGCATCCTCGGCCCTGATAAGGCAAAACGACTTAACTCAATGTTTTCACTTTTAGGGGTTATTTAATATTTAAGTAAATTGAGGGCATTTCATTTCTGAAAGTTTTAAGTCACCTAACACTACCGTTTCTGAGATAGATTTTCCTATCTCACCTTATTTTTGTATTATTCAACCATTTGTTATGGCAAAACAACTTAACTCAAAGTTAAGTGGTATATAATGACATTGATTGTTATGGCAAAACGACTTATCTTAGAGATAGCTGATCTCCCTTAAAAATACCACAAAGAAAGAAAACAATATTGTTTGGCAAAACAATGTATCTGCAAGATACATTGTTTTGCCATGACAAGATATATGATATTAATGTACCTAACTCAAAGTTATGTCATTTTGCCATGACAAAAAATTAACTTAGAGGGCGAAATTCAGCACAAAACAGCCTGTCAACAAACATGAAGAATGAGACACTTGTATCTGCCCTATTTCAGAATAAACTAACAATCTACTTATTTGTATAGATTATCGTAGCATTGAGGTAACACAGTATAATTTATAGGCCTATATAAAAACATAATCGAAGCTAACCTCTAATATTATGATTAGCAAAGCGAACCTTTTTTTCAAATCATGATTAGCGAACCCACGTAATTCATAATATGCCAGTCCTTTGTTAACATTCTATTTAGCTAACGTCAATTTTAAAATATGTAGCGAACCTTATGAACATTTTATTATTAGTTATAGTACGATGTTTCACTTGAACCATGGAATGAGAGGAGTTAACAAAATTTACAGCTTGCTTCATTCCCAAACAAGCACCACCAGGCACGTTCGAAAACCTATATTAAACAGAACAATATTCAAAGAGATAAAAAAAATAATAATCTTCGGGCAAATCCTGGCCGTCATCCCTGGATAATACTTGTTAATAAGCTGTTAATAGGATTATATAAAATTGCGATATTAACATATTCATGGAAGATGTAATAAAAACACATTCTATGTATTCTAAACACACATCTTTATTCGTTCAAACATTCATGTGTGCATAAATCACTGAAACTCTTCAAGTGTAGGCATACCCATAATGTTAACCACAGTGTATGATTATGTTTCTGTAAATTGATCCAACTGAGATCTGAAATGTCTAACTCATATTTTTTCTTGAACATCCGCCTCTCCACCACAAACAAAAGATGAGGGTATTTAATTTGTCACAATTTATTTACATGTCCACAAACATGTGCCATGTTGACCAAAGGTCATTTTCAAGGTGGACCACTGAATAGGCTTTGGTCCGAAATTGTCAGTTGAATTGTGGATAGAATTGTGAGGTGATCACCTCGACAGTATTGTATGTGTACTGCACGAAATCGTTTAATTGCAGGCGCCGTCTTCTTTTCACCAGACTTTCACGGATCGTCCAAAGTAAGGTTTACTTTATTATTAAACAAATTAATCGAATTTTCTGTCTTAATTACATATACTACCGTATTAATTTTTCTATTTATTTAATAACTCTTGTTGATGTTGGTGTTGCTGCATGCTGCTGTTGCTGTTGTAATTGCTGTTGTTGTTAGCAGTAGCAGTTACAGTAGTGGTAGTAGTAGTAGCATTATACGGTAGTATTACAGTATACAGAATTACAATACATTGAATGATTAAAAATTAAAAAAAGGTTGGCTTATTGTCAAATTTACTTAAGCTAGTATTCCTGTATGATTTTCATATCAGTCAACAAGTATTTAAAGAGCGACAGTAATACGATGTTTAGTGCAGCAATGGCATCGGTGTGTTTGTGTATTATATTGGTGTAGTAAAAAAGGCAAGTGTGGGTGTTTGCAGCTGACAAGAAATAGATAAATGAAATAAGAAACAATGAAAAGTTAGGAACGAATTATGTTCTACGTATCAGCCCCACTTTGTGAGGGCATACAGTGGTATCTGTTGTGCGTTGAAGTATATCTGTATGCATCTCTGACAAAAACGATAGGTCTTCGTGGTCGAGTGGACTGTTCAGGAACTCTTCGTTGAAGTGCTATAGATGATAAGTTTATAACATCCATTTTGTTCCTAGCTTGAATGGAAGAGTCTTTGGTTGTCAAATAGTTTAACGCTCACTTTGACAGCGATATAACCCCACTATCCAGGGGCGGATAGAGTGGGGGCCACGAGGGCCCGTGCCCCCCACTATCAGTCCCGTCGAAAAATATAAAAGAGGGAGATTGAACAATAGTGAGAAGAGGAAAACGGAAAGAACCCATGATTTTCAGTGGCGGATCCAGCAAGTGGGCGAAAGGTGGGCAAGGTGTCTAGACTAGCCATGCTTGAAAATGTCTGTTTAAAAATCGGTGCTATTTTTCTATATTATTGTCTCTTATTAGATCTAAACCTTAATATTATGATACACTACGAACCATTGTTGATCCGGGCACTGGGGTAGACTACTCAAAACACCTTCTCTCGTACTGTGGGTTCTAAGTTTAGAGCTTTGCGCCTACATGCATAGAGAGACTATAGGTCCTCAATTGGGTTTACGACGTTTGTGAAAGGAGGGGTATCTAGAGGAGGGGGGAGCATAACTCTTGTAGGGAAGAAACCAATAATTTTTGTCAAGAGCACATGGTTTGAAAAAGCATTTTTACCGTCTGAGAGTATCATTTCAGGTGCCTATTCTAAATATTTGCTCACCTAAGCTCCACTATGGGTGGAAACTCCCTATTGTGCCCACCCCCGAGCAAAAAAAAAAGAAGAAAAACAAAACAAAACAATGATGGATCCGCCCCTAGTGGGTTCAATTCCCGTCAGGATAAGTTCTTCAAACAATTGAGACTGATCATTTAAGAAACATTTCCGTTGATACTAAATTTCCGATGCGATCTATACATCGTTGCTTCTATTGAGCACTGTTTCTACAATTACCGTATTTATATTTGATTAACATAGTATATAACACAGTGCTACACAGCAACATTGATTCTATACTCAAATTTAACAGATGCGACCTTTAGAGTTCACTCTTTTTCCGTCCACTAATTCGGTCTACTTTATAATGGCGTCGTGAACATCGGTTGCTTGAAGAACGACCTTGGTTAGATTATATCTATGGTATTACCATTGACCCTTTGTGATCAAGTGATACGGCACTCGCCTTGTCAGCGAGAGATCGCGGTGTCAATTCCCATCAGAGGCACTTATTTAAACAACTGGAACTTTAAAAGAACTTTTTAGTTGACAGGATATGATCGATGCGATTTTTACATAATTATTATTTTATTCGAACATATCATTATTTATTATTTAAGTACACAGTATATAACACAGTGCTACACAATAACATTTATTCTACACAAACACAAGCTGCAAACCTTAGAGTACGCTCTAGTTCGCTTCCGTCCCAACTTGTGAGGGCGTACATCGGTTTCCTTGGTCGTAATGTATCTGTATTACTCTTGTTGGTATGGACTCGTCTTTACTGCGAAAGATCGCGGGTTCAATTCCTGCGGGGATCAATATCGAACTTTCCGTTGATAGACTATGCCCGATACGCTGTTTACATCACTGTTCTTTGTTCGAGCCCTGTTTATATCGATATCTCATGGTACATTTAGATTTGATTGACTTTTTTTTTATACACAGACAATGTTACGAGCTCTGTCACGTATTAATTTAAGATCTCTACTGACGGCATCTGCAGCTGTGTCTAGTGCAGGAAATCTCCAGTCAACATGTCACAGTCGATTCCAAAACGTTTTAACTACACGAAGATTTAAGTCCCATGAAACGTACAAGCCATTTAAATACCATTCAAACACTTTTCACATTGACAAAATATCTGGGGTAATCGACATTAAGTTTAATAAAGAGTGTAGCTCCCGTTATCCCTTCATCTGGTTAAGAGATAACTGTCAGTGTCTTATGTGCCATGATAAGTCTAGTATGCAACGGAGAATTCTACTGGATACACTCGACATTGATGTCGAGCCCGAGAATGTACTGACCGACTCTGTTGGGCAGGCAATGACTGTCCACTGGTCAGATGGACACATCAGTGAGTATCCAATAAGCTGGTTGAAGAATTACACGTTTCCACAAGTGGTAGACCACATTCAAGAGATGGAGTTGAGGCACTGGGGATCTGAAGTCAAACTTCAAACATTTTCATTTGTAGACATATTGAATGATGATTCTGTTCTGTATAACTGGCTGGTTTGTCTTCATACGGACGGTCTGTGTAAAATAAATGACATTGGACTTGAAGAGAGAAATTGCATGCGGTTGGCAGAAAGAGTGGCTTATCCAAAACCTACTTGCTACGGGTAAGAACATTTATTATCTCTTTACGTGTAACACTCTTATATTACATAATATCTCTTCCGAGATCTTGTCTTAAGAAGAGTGCATATCATATTGATCTCTGTTTAACGTGTGTGCCTCGCATATTGTTCTGTTATATTGGCATACCATAAAGTGCGAAATAAATTTCCTCCAATCGGATTCGAATTTCCAACTAAAGCCTCAATGGCCCAGTTGGCTAAGTGGTCCGCACATACAGCTAAGGTCCCGGGTTCAAATCCTGGTTGGGGAAAGTTTTAGTGCTAGCAGATTCCTCTTTACCGTTCAAAAATGCGTAATGGACAGCACTAGTCCTTAATGAATATGTCATAACAGAGAATTCGAACCCGAAACCTTCTGTTCAGATTCCGCTAAAGAACAATTTGCACCCAGATGTCCGGAAATCGTACTCTTAAGTTAGATTTACACTAGACACGATGACGACACGACATCGACATATCATCGCGTATTCTTCAACACTGCGCTCATTTGTATCGTGTAAATGTAGCTTTAGATTGTAAAAAATATGCTTTTTTAAAACAGTGTTCTCTGACGAAATATGGGAGGGGGATCATGTGGCTCCCTTGATCACCTGCTGGTCCGGCCACTATAGGCTACGTATGGTCTGTTTAGATGCCGAATATAAACCCTAAAACAGTATTAAATTGTTATTTATTTCAACATCAAATACAAATATATCTTTTAATATTCTTATCAAATTATCGTATTATGTTTACCTGTATAGAATTGACTGGGCCCTCAAGTCTAACCCGAATCCTAGTAATCTCGCATTCTCTGGAGTTCGGCTGTGCCTACATACTGACCTTCCTTATTATGCGTATGAACCAGGAGTAAGTACAGTCGGCTTATACAAAATTTCACACATGCGCAGTCGATCTGTAGAGCAAAACAAGGGGCCCGGCTTAACTACAGGGGTGTAGAACAGCTAAGACACGTGCCCCGGGAGGGAGGGGGGTGAGAAGAAAGGGGGGAAAAATGAGTATGGACAAAAGGACTTTCGAACTAGTATGCAGTGTTTAAAAAATCTGATAAGTTTCCATTCTGCATACAGAGTAGGCCTATAACTTAGTGTAATGATAACAAGTAATAGGAGAAAGCCAAGAAACTCTGATGCCCTTATATAATTTTACTTTCCTTAGGCCCTGATATTTCATTCCATAAAAGTGAGTGAATTTGGCGGGGTAAGTGAGTTCGTGGACAGTTTTAAAGTGTCCTATGATTTGAAAAGAAATGACCCGGAAACGTTTGAGATTTTGACCAGAGTACCAATAGGATATGCAGATCAGGGTGTTGACGAGTTATCACACTCCGAATATTACTTGAAAGATTCCAAGCCAATTATAAGGTATAGTTTGATTTCAACCTTTCTTATCATATGACTTTATTTTTATCCCTTTTGATATTTATACTCCTAATTTTGAAGTCCGTAGAAGGTTGGAGTTTCCCCACCAGAATCAGAACTTTCATAGTTTCAACATGGACCTATTAATAAGTTAATTAATAGGTCCATGGTTTCAAGTATAATGCTTATCAAATTGTTTAGTGGTTTGATTTCAATCCAGAGCAAAATTTTGGTAGGGGCCATGCGAAGCACCAAGCGGGTAATTGGGGTGAGGTGGCGTTTGAAATATTTGTCTAGAAATGCTTGGCCGTGATGCCAAGTTGGGGTGTGAGGTGAGAAATCATTGTTTTTTCGCACCTAGATGTCTGGAACATAGCATTGAAGCGATTCACCAATTATTGGATGGTTGGAAAAAACAAAACCCTATAATAATCCTGGTATATTTACTCATGAACTTGTGAATGGACATGGGGGTGTTTTATCAGACAATTGACAAATCAGAACGTGTTGTTAACTTGGCGGGGCGTATGCCGTTGTCCCACAAACGTACATTACGCTCGGGGCCGCACGTTTCCTTTAACATTGTTAATGTTGTTTTGTTGGATCTGCAACAATAATAGTATTTAGCATTGTAAAAAGCTCTATTTACCGATGATGGGTGGTCTTAACGGATTATTCTACATCCCGTTAAATATTGGCCCATGGGCCTATTAAGAATTTATCAGAAATTTTGAAATTGCTCAAATAAGAAAGTTATTATTTCACTTAAATTGAATTGAACCCCGGAGTCGAGGGTCAAATATGTCTTAATCGATCGTCGGTTCAATTATTTTAATAGAACAATGTTTTTAATGTTCTTGCAGCCTGGATCCAAACGGGAGATTAAGAAAATAACCTTCAACCAACAAGCTCGTGGAATCAGGATCGGCGTAAGTGTCGATGATATTAAGTCGGTATATAAAGCCATGAAGGTCTTTCATTCAGCATTGAACAACAAAGAAAATTTCGTTTCGTTCAAAATACAACCAGGTGAGTAGTGAGGATATAATTAGGACATTTTTTCCAGTAGCACACTTTTACTGGGACCCACAAAAGCCCAAGCTATTGAGTGAAAAAGTAGTGATGAGAACTTTGTTAACTACACGTTTTGGAACGGGTGTTGGCACAGCGGGAGTGGTTTGGCCTCTGAAACAAGAGGTCAGGGTTTTAATCCCTCACTGTGCCATCTCTTGCGTCCCTGGGGCAAGGTAATATCTCTTCACGTATAAATGGGTACCTGGTGGGGCAAGTTGCCTGCTATTCTCTAAGGACGGTATCAATGCTTAAGTATGTGGACCCACGACCAGGGATAACAATTAGCGCTTAGTAACATGAAGAAAAGGCACTAACTGACTCAGTAGGGCCTAACATTTAACAAAATAACAAATGTATGTTATGTCACTCTAACCAGGGAGTTGTTATTGTGTTAGTGCTCATGAGTCGCGGAATGAATGTAAAATGATTAAGTACCGATTGACTTGGTAATTACTACTACCGGTAATTATTATTATTCTCTATTTGACGTGTAGCCTATTCCATTAATATTATTGTACGTGGTTATTTTGAAAAAAGAACATGAATTACCGTATAACATTCTCTTTTGTTTTCCAGGTGAGGCAGTTTGCTTTGATAACTATCGAGTAATGCACGGGCGACAAGAATTCACGGTTCCGGCAGGAAACTCTACCTCACGCCATCTGCATGGAATCTTTATTGATTGGGACAATATCTACTCGCGCATCAGAGTTATCGCTAAGAATAAAAACATCTTTTTTTAAGCAGTTTCATCTATTTAGACTCTGTAAATGGGTGGTGAGGGTTTAAGTTGGGGAGCTTTATAGTTGATTATAGGTATATCCATTTGTCGTTTCAGACAAATTCTAGTTTGTATAAAATTGATTTAAGATGTAGGCCCACTAATTTAATGGCTGTATCTTAATACCATAATGATCTCTCTTTTCTGGCTGTATGATTGGAGGAATTAGCCGATTATCGTCTTTGAAAGTTCGTCGAGTGCGTTTCGTCACGATGTCAGCCCACCATCGTCCGACAGGCCTGTCTTATGAAGTGCACTCAATGCGCCCGACGGTCGTCGACCGACGCGATTCTATGAGAATGCAACGTCACGCCACCTACAATCAGCAGACGGCGACGCATCGTCTAACGCTTACATGGAGCGGAGTAATTCGTTGTCCTAAAAACAAGGTGTTTTTTTGGTAATAAATAGGCCTATTTTCCTGGTAATTTTTGGAGAAAATTTTTCTTTTATAGATAGGCCTAATAGAAATAATTCTGTCCAATAGACAAAAGGCCTATCTGTGCGATTGTCAGTGTAATGTTGTATTAGGGTTCAATAATATTAAGTAACAATTGGAATTTGTTTATCAATACCTTTCATTTGATACCAAACCTGTTAAATGTCCCAACTTGGCTTGACAGCTTATTGGTCAACTTGGGTATACTGGCCCTATACAATTGGTCAATCTATAACTTTACCCATAGTATATTGAACACAAACATTCTCACACTATAAGTGACACTACGGAGCCAAGCTTTCGATAAGAAAATCCATCTCAGATAAAAGTATTTCGGTAAACAAGTTATTAAATCATAGAGAAAGAAAGAACTTCTCAATGATCCAAAGAAACCATAAAAACATGAGGTGACTCTATAGACCATGGAGACACACTCCAATACCAGAAGGTATAAGAGGCAAAAATCCTATTATCACTAATAGATTAGGACTTATAATATAGGAAGAACATCTTCGGTCTAAAAGGATTTAAACTCTAGTCTGAGTTCAGTCGCTTCTTGTACGTATGTTGTAGTGCAGTAAAATAGAATGTAGAATAAAAGCTTTGCAGCACGACACCAACGTAAAGAACTGCTTTCGTCTCTTTCATTGAACGTACCATCATTCAGTACCGTAACACGCATTTATTATTTCATGGTGCGGAGTTGATTGAACATTACCATACAACTCCTCCCCCTGCCAATCATAATCCCTGAATTCGTGCCCCATGCATTATTCGTCAAAAAGAATACAAAATGACTAATGTCTGAAATGTTTATAGGTGTTTTATTTTGTATGTGGTCTGTTTTTGAAAATGTATCAGACGAAAAGTTTGTTAACCTTGTAGTTTTCCCCAAAAAGTCATAACAAATAGGCCTATGTCTTTGGTCAATTATGGGGTAACGCAATTCACATAATGTATCATCATACACATCATTCGATAGATAGGCCTAATCTTTAGCTTTCGTATGATACCAAATATTTTCAAATTGAATCTTCCAGTGACGGACAGTTTCAAAATACCTGTTTTGGGTAAAATGCAAAATTTGCAATTGTTTGGTTAACTTTGGCATTTAAATCCACAATTAACGTGGCAACAGCCAGGCCTATTCCTTGTGAGCCAATAGCATGGTGATGAGGATTCACCTTGTTGCCAGATTGTAACAATAGTGATGCTTACCAAAAAAAAAAAAAAAAAAAAAAATTAGCACTTGTCAATCTGTCTAATTCATCAAATAAATTACGATTTACAAGTAAAACTTTTAAAATGTTAAAAAGTGGATAAAGGTGAAAATGACCTTCATTAAACTGTAAGGAGATTATAAAATGAAGACCTGGATATGTAGTCAAAAACAGAGGGCAGAAAGAAGGGAGTAAAGGTAGACTATGTAATGTAATAAATTTATGATAAAATTCACAAAATTAATAATAAAATTCATAAAATCCGTGGGATGGTTTTATATTTATAGGCTATAACTGCTGGCCGGATCATTTGCAAAATTCTTCCGACGGCTGACCATCAACAATCATTTGTATTCCTTTTTGGTTTGTTCCAAATCAAACGCTTGGCTGATGATTGTCACCCGGGATTGTCATGCAATTTTTATATTTTTTAACTGAATAAATGTACCAACCAGTGGTGGCGCCAAAGTGGGAGGGGGGGGGGGCTGGGGATATAGCCCCCCCCCCCCCCGGCGATTTTTTTCCCCGTACGAAACATTTGCATGAAACTCCACTCGGGCCGTCTCGGATTGATTGGACTCGAGTTTGATATACGAACAAGAGCAGGCACTTTGCAATGTCGTGACGCTCCAGTATTCTATTACCTTTACTCAGTGTGAGCACTGCTTGGGTATTTACCCAAGATCTTGGGTATTTTGACTTGGTCTTGGGTTCTTGGGTATTCCGTTCAAATCCTTGGGTATTTTATTTTTACTAAGAAAATTTAATACTTTTGTCATAGAGAAAGAATTAAGAAGTAAAGTACAGTACCGTATATGTCAGTCCATTCAAGTAAGCAAAACTCAACGAAGTGCACATAACATTGTTAATTGACTGTTAATTGCTATAAACATAGGTTCAGGATTGTGATTTGCGTTGCCATTGATCTTACCTAATTAATGCATTACATAATAAAACTTGATCACTGATCTACTGATAACACTGACCGACTAAGGGCGTATTTTTCTATCTGTATTATCATCTCATGAATATTAATTTTAATAATTAACACAAACAATTACAATAACAATATGGTTTATAAATTGAACTAAAAGGGAAACTATACATGCGAAAACACGGGGTTTTTTTCAAATTTTAATGTATTTTCAGGAAGCTTGGGTAACTTTGGGCAATTTTTTCTGAATCTTGGGTACTCGACCCAGTCATTGGGTATATCAAAAATTGTGAGTGGTCACGCTGCCTTTACTGTACTGTTCTTTATTTACCTACGGCAGGCCTATAAAATTTTACCGATTTTTGATGCAGGCTACGTCTGTAACTAACTGTGAGCTTCGTGTATGTTTGTTATCAAATGTATTACAACAACAACAACAGCTAGTACCCCCTTCTATAGTAGTACCAGTGGTAAATGTACATCTATCAAGGCTAGAGCAAAAGAGGCTAAATAATGGACCTAGTGGAACGGCCTAGTTCCAAGCTGAATTAGGTCCTACCTGCTAGCCCCCCCCCCCCAAAAAAAACTCCTGTATCTCAGAAGTTTTGTAGACGTTTATCTTTGGTTGATGACCTTTTGACCTCCAGAATTGCGATTTTCGAGTCGAGTTAGTCGAGACAACCTGAGTGGAGTTTCATGCAAATGTTTCGTACGGGAAAAAAAATCGCCGTCGGCGAAGCATTGCCCCTCCCCCCCGTCGGGGAAGGCGATACATTTTGTGTGGGAACAAACAAATAAAAAAATACTTACATGTAATATTCGTTTAGCCACCATATTGTTTGTGTTAACTTTTTATCACAACAACAACAACAATAACAATAATAATAATAATAATAATAATAATAGTAATAATAATAATAATAATAATAATAATATTAATAATAATAATAGTAATAATAATTCAATGAGACTAATTAAAAATAATTTGCGTTCTGTTATGACAAATGCTCATTTAGATATCCTCATGATGGTTAGAATACATCGTGATAGGTGAAGCAACCTCGACCATGACAGCGTGGTTGACAGATTTCATGCAAAAATTTCCAAAATATAGAATTTCACTTTTAAGAATGAGGATTTGAAAATAAATTAGATGGTTACATTGCATACTCTTTGTTTCTTGCGTTATTCAAAATGTTTTGGTTTTGGAAGCTGATTTCAACATTAGAAAGCATAGCCTACATGAAGTCATATTATAGTAACTCGATACCTATCAAATAATTAATAAAAATTCGCCATAATTCATCATATATCCGTGGCTTCCAGGACCCCCACCGGTGGCCCTAGGCGGCCCCCTGGCCCCCAGCCAAGTGAGACTCGATTCGCTCCACTAGCCCCACTCCCCCGTCGGGGCCTTTAGCCCCTCCGTCGGGCAGGTCCTGGCGCCACCACTGGTACCAACTATAACGTATAACGTGGCCGTTAGATGGCGTGTGTTTGGCCGTGAAGCCAGAGCCGTAGATAGAGAGAGTTTGGCCAACTTGGCGCATGGGCGCCATGTTGTCACCAAACAGCGTGCGCGCGTATAGCTTCAGAACATTTTATAAAACATTGATGCTGCATAAACTTTCTTTCATTATTCTGTTCATGAGGACAATTCAATTATGGGATTTTAACATATCATTGTAAATATCATATACTGTATAATCATATTTACCTAACTTTGGAATTAATTAATCAGTGACGTGCTGTATTATTTCGAGAAGATAAAGTGAGGACGATTCTTTATTTTTTTTTTCGTTAAGATTATCTTTTTGTTTTGAAAGTCTATCATCTAGGCCTATACCTAGCCTAGGCCTAGTTGCTAGCAGCCTACTCTATATAGCATGAGGCTCCTAAGAGTCCAACTGCAGAGGAGAAAGGTTGGTTGTGCAGACAGAGTAGGTTTGTGAATCGTCGGCGATAATATGTTAATTTCGCCTGTAATTGAATGATAAAAATATTAATAACATGAAAGTTTCCTAATTGTATCTAGGCCTAGGCCTCTAGGCCTATGACTTCGTAAACTTTAATTTATATGATGAAATAAAATATGCTGGTCATCTTCAAACCAACAAATAGCCTAGGCCTATTTGTAAATTGTAATCTAAACAATAAATCAAAGTTGAAGAATTATTGCATTGAGAGAAATTTTTGTACAACATATGCCTAATCATTCATAATCAAGAAGCTAGGCCTTGTAAGTAAAATAGCAGCATTCTCCACACTTTCTGTTTATAATATTAGTGAGTTATAATATTATCATTATTACTGTATTATTATTATTTATTATTATTATTATTATTATTATTATTATTATTATTATTATTATTATTATTATTATTATTATTTATTATTCATTATTTACTAGGCCTATTCATTGAAATTTTTATTTGTAATTTGTAAAACATTTAAACGTTTTGATTTAAAATATGTATTAAAACAATCAATATATTATAATACAATTAGGCCTATATCTTTAAAATATATTTTTATCTTTAAAATCTTTAGTTGCACAATGAATTGATTTGTAAAGCACAATTGGGCATGTTTGCATAGCACAGGACTTCTTGGACAGGTTTTCGCTTTTATTGGAGGATTCAATTTTTCTTTTTAATTATAATTTAAGCTACCTTTGACTGATACTTCATGTAGCTTTCTGGAAATTTAGTTACCGGTATATAATTTAACAGCAAAGTGCAACATTGCCTCTTTTTATAAATCATTGCCGCTTGAAAATTATTATTTTTTTTTTTATTATCATCGTAATTAAGCTGATTTAAGTACTACCTTAAGGTGTTCGGCCGAAGAAGTACCGAAATTTAGGCCTGTCTAGGCCTAGTAGTAGTAGTAGGTGGATATATTATTACCGCGAAGTGGGGCGGGCGGTACATGCCTTATAATTTACTATTTACTATTTACTATCTAATAACTTACGTGGATAGCGAGATTTTTCGGTCGCCATGCAAAGTTAAAATAAAATCCCAAATCCTCCTCCTTTTTGGAATTTAAGGAAATTAATACATTTTTGTTTCTTTGTTGGATCGATTGCAGCAACCCCAAACCCAACATAACGGTATTTCACATTATATAGCATTAATTATCTATAATAACTGCTAACTTCCTACCCTATCGCGTTGTTTTGTTTTGGTGACAACATGGCCGGTGTAAGTCACGTGATTGAAACCGAGTTGGCCAAACTCTCTCTATCTACGGCTCTGCGTGAAGCCTGCGTGTGCCCTGAGCCGAGGTATATTTGGTATACCAAAACGGACTTCAGGCATGTTCCAACGCCAAAGCTATAATCAGTGGCGCATCCATTAAACGGAAAGTTGAATATTCATAGATTCTTCTCATATAAAATAAATGAACTCCCATTGAATGAAAGAAAAAATCATCATCAAAACACTAATTTCAATATGAATTGAATGAA